AACACTGTGACGACAAGATGACAGAATGAAAGCGGAATTGTGAAGGTATGTCTGCGATAGGTGTGACTGATTATTAAAGAAATATTATTTCACAGGGATGTGAATGCTATGGCAAAAGTGTGTAGAGCGATGAGGCTAATCCCGCAGGTGTACCCTCGGTACGTAGAATCGAGGATTTGCTGTGACAGCCGTGTCTGCTGCATGAGTGGACCGTTATTTGTGTGTTTTGTTGGTACGAAAATTGTGAACTTGAGAATTTAAAAATTATCAATTTTTCAGACAAAAATGTTGGTAAGATATACTTCCAAAATCCTCTTTACTGATGACAAACCAAAGCTCAGGCCCTTAAAAAGGCATGAACGGTTTGCAGTAAAACTTATTACCAGGCTTTGTTGTAACTCGTTGAAACATGTAAAGTACACGCCTTTGTTTGAATCCAGCTACACGGCGCGGTACGCCTTAGTTGTGTTCTCATCCACCTTCCTCTGGTTTTAAACTCACCTTCCAAGGATCCATGCATCACTTTCAGAAGAGCCTTTGATATTGTTCATGGGAAGTTACGTACTATTTTAGCTGGCTAGTTGTTGGGACTTTTCTATTTGGGAGGGAAGAAGACAATGTCTCATCCAGCACCTCCGTTGCCCAAGTGATGATTATCACCTTTCCTTAACATCACATAATTAAATACAAAATTGACAATTCGGGTCTAAAACTCAAATTGAAATGGATGTGTGACGAGGGAAATTTTTTACGGAGTTTGTAAAATAAGTAAAGGCGGAATTTGCACAATTGTGTCTCATTGGAAAAGAATAGCTGATTGCGATAAAAAGGTAATTCAACTAATAACTTATGCTGAGAGGCATAAAAGAAGGATAGTGAGGAAAAGGAGAGCGATAAAAAACTCCAGGGACCTGGATCAAATAAAATTAAGGGAAAATTTGTTCTACTTTGAAATAAGTGCCATTAAAAAGATACTCATTTGCAAAGGTAAAGTAACTGAGATTACCCACGATTGTCTCATTCAAAAGATCACAGCTGTAAATGACAAAGATAACCCCCCTTTAAAGTGGAGTACGATAAAGAATATCATAAAAATGGACTAAAAATGGGTCTAGGAAGTATGGAGTAATATTTCTTTTTGAAAATATAGACTGAAGAGTAGTACGGACTCATCTCAAGAAGTCACAGGAGGAAAAGTCAAATTTAGTGATAAAGTCGTTGGTTTGTTCCCACTTAGAAAGCAACAGCAGCCTCCTCACTTTCCTTACACATTTTTGGGATCTCGCACGCGCCAAAATCTGTATAACCCCTCAGGATATGGGTTTCCTTATCCACCAATTTTACATGTGCAGTTGACTTTTGTACGTCTCCTTCGGGATTAGGACTACCAAGTGCGTGCAGTTATTTGATATTTTGTTTAATTGCATGTTTATACACGCGATCATACTTCCTCTTGACGGCGTGGCTCTTCGACAACGCCTAAAACTCTTCAGTCCTTCCGTGCTTTCATTAGTAAATCTTCCTCCGTGCTGGTATGGCCTACTACGACCTCGGGGAAGACCCCGAGCACCGCAGTTTAATTGACTGTCACAATCAAGTGGGATTATATTGCACGTTTCAAAAGCCTTATCGACATTTGTTCCCCTCACGTTTTTAAAAGGCTGTGTAAACTAACTATTCTCTATTTTAAAGAATTGAGCTCGTTTAAACACGCGTGAGAAATTATAACTTAAATATTCCCTGATCCAAACTACGTATGACAGTGACTTTAATTACAGTTTTTTATTTGTAGGTGATTAACAGAGTTAAATTCCTAGCTTACAAACACATAAGCGAAATTATTACATTTTAGACCAATTTAAGTAGTCCCAACACAAATGGATGCCGTCATTTTACCATATTTTGGTGTAAAACAGAAACGCTTAACACCTTCGATCCATAAGCTAAGTTTGTATATACTTAAAAGGGCTTTTTTGTTCATAAAAAGAATGAGGATTAAATCAAGAAATTAAAATTCACTACTTAATTAAATTACTTTCTTATATGATGGGAGAGTTGGCATCTCATGAATAAGACCGTCTGGTTATAAATGGGCTAGCTTGTTGTTTACTTATTTGTAGGAGAACTGATTAATTCATTATCATTCAGGTGGTGTTACCTGTGAGGCACTGACTCTCCCATCATAATATAAAGTTCTTGGTAGACAAACGCAACCTTACATTCTGTAGATATTTTCTGATTTCGGAAAAAAAAACTGTTGTGAGGCTAACCTGTGAACAAGATGTACCCGAACAAGGCCACTTACTTGGGACTTCTGGGGTTCAGTTCGGGCGCCGCATCACTTTGCTCTGCAAGGATATGCACGTTAATCTGGACCTGGGAAAAGCAATGCGACATTTTCGCTTTGCTGTGTACCATACGCAGCGTGCTTGCGTGCCAAACTAATCAGATAAATGCACGAAACATTCCATGTTAGATCTTTTTTAAAAGCGAATATTGCGTTTTGTTGTTGTGAATTTATAAGTTATTTGAAAAGCGTTTGGTATTTATAACTTATTTGAAGAAATATGTGGAATTTCGGGCATGCAGCGTCCCCAAATTTTTTTCCTTAGTTTGCCATAAACCATACTACCCTGGAGAAGGGCTGGGGAGATATAGGCATAACGAAGGAGCCATCCTACCTAGCGGATGTAAAAACCTCGGAGACTGATGAACCCGCGTAGTTAAAAGAACGTTTAAACAAAATATCGAATCACTCTTTTGAAGTTCGTACTATCTTAACGTGGTCGGTGGGATAAAGATCACTGAGGGGACAGGAATGTCAGTCTTTGCATTTAAATGAAGAATGAGGATGACATTTGACCCTAACGTCGATTCCTGGCTTTCGCCTTT